TTTAAATGTATTTTGAAATTAAATTAGATATTAGGGTATTTAATTTCACTTCAACCAGAGGCAACATAATAGAATTTCACCTTTCACAAATAAAATGAATTGAATGTAATGGGAGCATCATGTGGCATTACAGAAACGGGTAAATTGAGTAGGGGGAGGGCAGTGGGGAAAGGAAGGGACAGTAGCAGACATATTCTGTATGAACTTCAGGAACGCATAAATTTAAGCCCCCACCCCCACACCCCTCTATGTCCAGCCACTGTAACAGTTGTGTGTTTACCAAAACAAATCAACCATGTATTTTGATGAATAGAAACCAGGCTTCCCAGTATCAAGCTTTTCCAAATCTATTCTATTGCATAGTAATTACTCAAGTTCACTTCTCACTAAAAGTACCTGTTGTAGAGAGAGAGAAGGAGGGGGGGGGGGGCAAGGGATTTGAACTCTAGTTGAATACAGCGACCCAACCAGACCAGGCCGCGGTTTAAGGCCCGGCTGGTCCCTCCCCCATCTCTCACGTTCAAGGAGCAGGATCGGTTGCCTACCTACTAGGCGGACCCTCATTCATTATAGTTTTGTTCAATATTTGTTACGTCTTCTGTTATATTGATGCACTTCGCTCAGCTACCCCGTGCATAATGTTAACGCACGGGGCCCTACGTATGAGGTCCCAAAAGGATCAGGAAGATCATTGGAGTCCATAGAGACCCTATATTATTTTCAGCCCGGGGTACAAATAATATGGGGTCTCTATATACTCCAATGATGTTCCTGATCCTTTTGGGACCCCATAATATTTGTACCCCCCTAAATGTCACGTAGTATGGGTACGATCCCTAAGGTCCGCTCCGCTCTGCGCATTGAGTGCAATGACACGTTTTCCCCTTTTCATTATCGTTTCAGGGTCGCGTTTTAACGTGAAGACCAAGGTGATCGCCGCCGACTTCAGCAAGGGCCAGCCCGTCTTCGACCACATCGAGGCCGTGCTCAAGGAGATACCGGTCGGCATCCTGGGTGCGTTGGTCGGCCATTTCCGTATAGGAAGCCTATGATTCGCTGTGTGTCCTCGCGAATGGCGGGCAGCGCGCTCGAGCAATGAGGTCGGTAAATGATCGCGATAATGCATCGGTCCGCAGTGAACAACGTCGGGCGGCAGTACACGTACCCGATGTACCTGGGGGAGGTGCCGCAGCAGGAGCTGTGGGACATCGTCAACATCAACGTGGGCGCCACGACCATGATGACGAGGATGGTCCTGGACCAGATGAAGGAGCGGAGGAAGGGGGCCATCGTGAACGTGTCCTCGGCCTCGGAGCTGCAGCCCCTGCCCCTCATGACCGTCTACGCTGCGTCCAAGGTGAGCGGAGCGGCCGGCCGCGCCTGGCGGGTGGGCCACCCAACGGGCGCGCCGGCGGCGCCTAGGCGGCGGGCAACCCATCGGGCGTCGCGTCTGTGGAGTGTAGTAGAGCGCACTAGAAAACACCACCGTAAAAAAGAGTGCAGTTTGGATTGAAGTCTTTTGCAGTAATCTCGGCTGTGCACATACCTCGCGCCACTTCGCGGTCGAGTTGTGCCATAATGCCAATACAGGTGCAAGAAAAAACGGTCACCTCTACTTCAGTCAATAATACTACGCACCTTTCAGTTTAAAAATAATGTTCCGTTGCGGCTATGCCCCCTGTGTGTGTAAATGTTCAATACGTGCATGCCGTAATGAATACAGAATTTATACCCCCCCCCTCTTCTCCAGGTGTTCGTGAAGAGCTTCTCGGAAGCCCTCCGCGTGGAGTACTCGCAGTACGGCATCACGGTGCAGCACCTGCTGCCCCTCTTCGTCAACACCAAGATGAACGCGTTCAGCCACCGCCTGCAAGAGACGAGCCTGTTCGTCCCGGACGCCGAGCGCTACGCCAGGAACGCCGTCAACACCCTGGGCCAGGTCGAGTCCACCACGGGGTACTGGGCGCACGGCCTGCAGGTGAGTGTCCTCGCTATCGGCTACGGAGGTGCGGGAGGGTCGGCTACGACGCAGCCATAGCGACTGACCTGTCCCCTCTCGTGTTTCGCAGTACTTCTTCACCGTCATCCCGCCCGTGTGGGTGCGGACCTACATCGGCGCCCTCATGAACCAGACGTTCCGCAAGGACTACCTCACGGCGAGCATCGTGTCCAACAACAACCTCAAGATCAAGGAGATCCCGCCCACGGTGGTACCGCCCCCGCCGGCACCCGCTCCGGTGTCCGCTTAGGAGCAACGCCGTTGAACCGCAACACAGAGTTGTCAATGAGCCGAGGCGGGACCCCGCCGGACCCGCCTCTTATTGTAGAAGACCTCTGTGCTGTGCTGCCGAAGATAATAAAAACAGGTCCAGCGGGGTGCGCTCGCGCTGATGGGAAAACCTCGACCATAAAGCGGTTTGCTGTTCCAATCTCTCCGTCAAGGTCGAGGACAATCTGGGTTGTTGCGGTCCATTCAAGGCCATGACGTGCGTAGGTATAGGGCGCACGGTCGGCGTCCTCTGGCGATCCACTTGTCCTGTATTCGCCGTGAACTCATGTACAGTACAGTACTCATGTGTAGCGCGTGTACAGTATCTTTGAATGCGCTCCAGTGTTGCAGGATTGCGTACTCCCTTCGTCTATAAGGCGCCATATGGGCCCCCTACAGCCCTAGCGAGTATGCTACACTATGGAATGCATTTATAGATAACCTCAGTACAGGGAAATATAAACCGATTCACCCCTCGAGGGAATGCTGTTTTCGAATGTTCCAACATCTGCATTTCCTGACAATAAAGTGATGTCATATAATTCCCGATTTGCCGCCGAACGTTATGTTTGTATTATAGTTTTTATATTAGTTGTTTAAGGATCTGTATTTTGTACTTTTTGTTGATTATTGATTGTAATTTATGAGTTTGTGTCATAATGTTATTACAGGCAGAATGTTGTTCTTTGTTTCATCGGCAACTTGGAGAAGTATGGTTTGTTAGTCTGACAAATTAACACGTTTCGCTTGACTGGTACCGTCTCCTGGTTGTGACAGTAGAAACTTAATTCTGGTGCCAAAGCATTTATCTGCCTGGATTATGTGATTTTCGCGTCCGTGCGCGACGAAGTACCTCCGGAGTATAAATGTAAGATTATGTCGCTCTAGACTTAGTCCTTAGGATCACTTGTTGGTACCCGAGCAAACTGTGCAATTGTAATAAAAATGATACTTCGTTACATTCTTCGCTTTTATTTTGAACCAAATGGGAGGGACATCAACTCATTTCCTTTTCGTCGAGTCTTCGCTTTTCCTGCCTGCATTATGGCCATGATGCGCAGTGGTCGCGCCCCTTGGGGCGCCTCGCGGTCCACCTGGCCACATTTTCACACGCTGCAGCTGCAGCTGCTTGATGGGTTGGCCTACCCACCGCGTGGCATGCAGGCACCTGTGGAGGCACACCTTGGCTGGCACGCTGAGTCGCACGCGGCCACATGGTGGTCGTGCCGCCATCACTGTTAACACACAAAGTCTGTTTAGAGGCGCCCAGGTAAGGTAACACCGCGGTCGGCGTGGAGCAGACTCCGACTCCGCCTCAGCGGATTGGTTCCGGTGGCGCGCAGGACCATGCCGCGGCCAATGAGTGCGCGAGGAAGCCGGCCGGCGGGAGTCCCGGCCCGGCGCCGGCGGCCGGCGGGGGGTCAGGGCCCCAACAAGCTGCTCTGCGGCAGCTGCGGGATAGTCCGGTCCGGGAAAATCATTTGCAGATAACGCGTACCAAAACATACAAGTGTGGGCGGGAGCGGGGCCGGCTATAAAGTGGGCGCCGCGAGCCGGCCGCCCGACAGTCCGACATGAAGCTCCACCGCACCGCCGCGCTGGTCGTGCTGCTCGCCGTCCTGGTCGCGGCCGCCGGGGAGAAGCTCGTCTTCTCCGACGAGTTCTCCACCCTGGACCACCACAAGTGGGGCCACATGGTGTCGGCCTGGAGGGGTGGCAACAACG